GTCCCGGCCCTGAGGGTCCTTCCCTGCCTGCCCCGCCCCCTTCTCACCTGAGTTTCCCATGCTGGCGCAGCCACAAACAGCCCCACAGTCCCAGGCTGGAAGCCCCTGTTAGGCAGGGGCTTCACGCAGGAGGGGCTGGGCAGGATCTGCTGTTGCAGGAGCCTGCTAGGGTTTCCCTTGGGTCCTACTGCCCCTGTCCCCTGTCATCTTTGATATGAGCCAGGGGCAGATAAATATTAATTTTCTAAATTTTTTAGGGGCCCCATGGGCCGCATAGAATGGCCTGGCAGGCCATACACAGCCCATGGGTCATATTTTGCCCACCCCTGCTCTAGCTCCTTATGAGAATCCAGCTGCTAAAATCACATTGCATTTGCAGTGGGGACAGAAGAGTAAGAAATTCACTAGAATGATATGGCACATTAAAAGCTGTGATCGCCTGAGACTAGAAACATTGGTTAGACCACTATAGGCATGCTCAAGACCATGAACTTGTGTCACTCATCCTGGATTAGTGTTCAGAAAGAGAAAAAGGGTGGTTCTATAGGTTACACCACAGAATTTGTTTTCTGGAGATCTGTTTTGTTGTGTTGGTTGTCTTGCCTCTTGTCTTCTAGTTGGTTATAGAAAAAAATAAATTAGATGCTTACATTTTTGCCCTGAGTGGAACCAGTTTTTCACAAACGTGCTGCACTCAATGTACCAAACTCTTTAAAAAATTTGACCACTTACTTGTGTGGGAGCTGAGCCTGCTAGAAACCTGACTCCAACTCTGGGTGCCTTGTACTTGAAATTCTGACTGATGAATGGAGCCAGGGCATCAGCAAGTGAGTGTAGCAACGGTAAATGTCTGTCTTTACCAAGTGCATTTGTCAATGGGTGACAGTGGACCCAAACCCAGGGAAGATTCCAATAGCAGGTAAATGCCCAAGGCCAACTAAGAAGCTGAAGATGTTAAGGTCAAACTATGGGCAGTCTGGTACGGTGGGTAGAGTCAGAGTCAGGAGTGAGCCAGTGGTCAGGAATCAGAATGTCGAAGGCAGGAACCAGGCAGGAACCAAGCCAGGGTCTGAGATCCAGAAATTGTCATGATGGTGCAAGAGACCAGGAGCTTAGGAATTTACGGAATTGGAGGCAGTCAGGCAGAAATAGAAAAGAGAGGGGGACAAGGCTGAGGTAAGATCCAGGACAGGCATTGGAGAAAAGGCAGGTTCTGGGACCAGGCTTGGAGGTGTGCAGAGTAAGGAAGGATTTGTCAAGGAGCCTGAATTGCCCATGGCCTCTGTTGTTGGGAGCAGCCTATGGGGCCAGCAGGCTTCATCATGCAGAGCCCCAGGGTTACTCAGGGTCTGTTTATAGGGTGTGCCCAGTACTCCTGGGTAGTATCACTCTTGAATATACTATGCCTACTCATGCATACTTGCATGTGCCAGTTTTGACTGAGGCAGGGCAGCCACTTTGGGGGTTTTCCACTTCTGACCTGCTCTGTCTCCAACCTATGTGAGTGGGAGTGGGTGGGTAGGGGTGCCTGAGAAACAGATGCTCCTTGGAAACACCAGGGAGACAGCATAGACAGCCCCCAAGTGGCCGGGTCGCAGTGTACATTCCAGTATTTCCCTGTTACTCCATGAGTTTCCTTGTAAAGCTAGCATCATCCATGCAACATGCTTAGTTCTGTTCAACACATACATACAAAACCATAGCTGCCCTGTGGCTGTGAGCAGGGTGAATCCCTGGAAGCTGTGGTGGTTGAACGCTTTTAGTGTGGACCTGCTCTGAATGGTGACTGGCCTGTAACTGTGTCCATGTGTCTCTGTTCCAGTGAAATACATGAGGGAGATCTCACCGTACTTCAAGAACTCCTCCTCTGGGGCAACAGTCAGCTGGGACCCCTTGCCAGCTGCCTCCCTTCAGAAGCAAGCCTCCCCCATCCTGTCCTTGCGAGACCTCAAGGAAGGGAAGAACATCCCCTTAAAAATGTGCTATGTGTCAAGGAAATGTCTCCCCAACGACCCAGAGCACAGGTAACCTGGTCCTAGGGCAATCATGTTTAGGGAGGCATCCAGGAGGGGATTCTTGCTCAGATTCCCAGCTCCAGCCTGTAAACCCTGCCATTACCTGTCCCAGGCAGAGAGTCATGCTGGTCTGAGCATGACTAAGCAGTCCTGGCCCTTGGTCAGTATCTCTCCAGAGTGGTGAGGAGACAGGAGGGGGGATGGACCGGATCACACCACGTCCCTCCCCATGTTAGTGAAAAAGTTCAGCAGCTTTGCTGACAGCATCGTACAGGCGAGTGAGCCCAGTGAGTTCAGGCTGCACATGCAAAAGGCCCATTGAATCCTGTATGCCACAATCTTGAATCAATACTGGGGTCATGCAAATGCTCTTTATGAGCAATTATAAAGCTAGCCAGGAAAGGCAATGGTTATAGGTTGGTGTAAAACCAATGGGAGGGAAATCGGGCTCAAGCCTCCAGCTCCATGGGATTGCATTTGAGTGTGTCACTTCCTGGGCTTGTCCAGGAAAGAGACCTGTGTGTGTGGCACTCCAGGGTCTGCCTGTCACATGCTTTCTTGTCTGTCCAGCTAATGGGATTTGAATAGCTACGTCCAAAGGTGGAACCAGCAAGGTTTTCACCCTGGGCAAATCCCTGCCACCACCACCAAGTACCAGAAGGGAGGGTGTGCTGAGCACAGAACAGGTTGCAGAGTTCTAGGAAGAGGGTAGGGGGATGGGGGAGGAGCCTTACCTGCCCCAAGGACTCAAAGTCTCCAGCTGCTGCAGTGCAGCCTGCATGCCTTGCTGTTATTGCTGCTTCTGCAGCAGCATTATGGGGTCCCTGCCTCTTGGCTGCTGTGGCTGCTGTTGCCATGGCACAGACTCCTCAGAGCAGCCACCATTCTGATGTCCCCTCTAAGTCTGGGGCCCTGCTCACCCATCCCTTGTTACTCTTCTAACTATGCCTTTATGTATAGGTTCTCCTGGGTAATGTGCCTCGAAGCATATACTTTAACAGGGGGCATCTTTACAGTCAAAGAGAATTATATGTATTAGCAAACAAGGCAAACAGATATACATCAGAGGAAATGACATTTAAATGGGATCTCCACTGGAATCACATTACTGTATGTGCTTGGGGCTAGAAAACTTGGCTACCAAGGAAAAGAAAAGATAAATAGTGAAGCTTCCTCCAAGCCTTTCATAGCACTCCCATCAGCCCCAGCTTCTAAATTGTTGAATTCCTAGGTTTTAGTGACAATGTATGCACTTGGGCACTCTTGGCTTTCAGTTCCCAGTGATTTTTTTATTGGGAATCAGACCACATGAAGAAAGAAGGGGAGACCAAGCTGCTCGTTAGGACTATTTTCTACAAATGAGGAAATTTGGCTGCATTTTGAGCTTGTCTTGATTTTGGGGGGATGTGTTCATTATCACAAAGATTTACTATAGTTGGCCAAAAATAAAATCTTGGGAAAAAATATCAGAATGGTTTTGCCCTTTTTTGACAAAAATGTTAATCAAATTAGACCAAATTGTATTCCTCTACTGTTTGCTAAGTGGTCTGCATAGAATCTGTCAGACAGCAACATGTCTGTGAAGTATGTCCTTCCAGTGCTTGTTATCTGATATGCATGCATTGGGACTGGTCACAGGAGTCAGCTGATGCCATTTTCCCTCTTTGATTGGAGTAACAAAACTTTTTAAATGAGAAAACAACACACAGCAAATAGTGTGCCTTCCATTGGGACAATGCAGAAGAATTGTTGTTTGGACCAAAACCCTTGGCACTTTAGGGATTCATAAGCATTGTTTTGTGTACATGGCAGTCATCAGTTATGCCCTGATAACATGACCTTACAAATCACACCTAGCTGAAAGCAGGGGAAATAAGTTCTTCTACATTTTCTTGCCATTTCTATGTATTTTATTACTGACAGTCAGTTTCATTCTGAATGGGAATATAGGGTTAGATTTTCTTCTTCATCTACTGGGCATCTTAGTGGACTCGGGTACCTAAGTGTGATTCTGTTCCACCCTGTTCAAATCCTGAAAAATCTATTAATGAATCCACTTTTGTAACTTACCATCTTACCCTCAAAATTAAGTCTCAGAAAAACAGTGAGAAACACCCACCCAGCTTTTGCATTAATAGTCTTCAGGGGTGCAAGCAGGATGGAGTTGAATCTCACTTAGATGTCTAAATCTACTTATGCTCCTAGTAGGTGAAATAGAATCTGCCCCAATTTGAGGTAATTTCTAGCTGTGTTTAACAGTCTATGTCTGGTAGTTGCATTCTGCGCTCTGTGTGAGAGAGGGAGAGCACAAACATCCACAGACAATGTTGCCAACTGGTGGTGAAGATGGAAGGCAGGAAGAAATACTAGAAACAGGCAACTGCCCTGCAGTTTGTATGTTTGTGTCTTGAGTGCAAACTCATGCTCCATTGTGAAGTTCCCTCACTTCAGCTTAACATTAAGACAGAAGTCACCAGTCTGTGCAGAAGATGATATGAACAGTTCATGGCGGTTTCCAATGAAATGCCTGTCTGTCCAGATGAGGGCAAGTAAGGCAGCATTTCTCCCTGCGATACAAAGGCCAGCTGGTGACATTGCCTGGTCAATTTCTCCACCTTTTGGCAGAATCCTTTTTTGAGAGCTTGGTGAAGAGTTCAGTTTATAGCCTTACTGCAAATCTAGAAGATCAGGCAAATGAGAAGGGGAAAAAGCAGAAGAAAAGGTTTTGGGTCAGGGAGCACATGAACAACTTGCCTTGTTATGATCTCCACATGGCTCTGTTACCTGGGTCTGTCTTCAGGAAGTCTGAAGATAAGGATAAGTGAGATAAAACTGATGGTCAGGAAGTCAAAGCCCAATGGAAGGGGTGGCATCTAATTACAGCTTGTCCTCACGCAGGTGATAACTCTGAAGGTCACCAAATTTGCTGCTGCTGGCAGTTAAGTGTTGCCAGGTAGGAGGTGGTTGGACAAGTTTTTGACTCTTCATAAGCTGAGTTAAGCCAACCTCATGTTTTAGGAACAATGAAAACGAGTGAGGATGGAAGCTCTCCCTCTACTAGCTCATCGTTTGTGAGTTGGAAGGTTCTGAAATACCACCTGCAGGTACTTGATGGAAGTGAAGTATTAGACTTGGTGGACAGATGATCTGAGCTCTGCTCTGACCCTGTTTGCTAAGGGTTTGAGCAGTGTTATGGTTTCTCTTCACCTCTGAGCTTTACACTCCCAGTTCCCCTTTTTCACTTAGCCCTGGCCAGGGTCACCCTGTGCTCCAGGTCCTGTGCTGCTTTGGCCCCTCTGACTGTCATAACAAGAATGACTAATGCAAAACGGAGACCTTCTCTCTTGCAACACATTTCTGAGTCCCCGGCAGGAGAAACACCACAGGAGGCCTCAGGACCAAGTATAGCACATGCTAAGAGACCACCTCTAGGTGCCCTGTCTTGCTTTGGGTCCTATTAGAATCTGTGAGGCCTGCTCCACCAACTTCTGCTGACTGTGATGGGCTCTGGGCCAAATTATGCCTGTGTGAAAAGAAGATCTCAGAGCATGCATCTACCAGCCACTAAACTATGGAGAAAATTGGAGGGTGCCCTGAACCACCAGTGATGGGGCTTCCAAAGGGAAACTTGTCAGCAGAGCTGGAGAGGGGAGTGGTGTCAGTGGGAGGGGTTTGCAGTATTGATTACAGCCCATGTACTTGCCTCCCACTTCCCAGCCCCACAGTTCTGCTGAGTGGAGCCTGGCCACCAGCCCACTCTGTTGCGTGCTGCTTCTTTGCAGGTACTTGGAAGTCTGCTCGGCAGATGGACGTATTCCCCTCTTCCTAAGAGCTAAGGACGAAGTGAATGCCCAGTCCTGGTTCAACGCTATTCAGACCAGCGCTAACACCTTGCTGCCCAGAGTCAAAGAGGAGCTGCGAGCCCTGCTGGCAGGGGCTGGGGTTGCTGGAAGTAAAGAGATCAAGCATGTTGGCTGGCTTACTGAGCAGGTGCCCCCACCATATGCTGGGTTTGGACACTGCTGGGTTGCGGGGGGAAATTGTGATGCATAGAAGAGGAGGTAGCTCAGGCCTTCCTACACAGCTCTGGCAGGTAGCCCAGCCCTTGTCACTAACATCTTCTGTGCCTCCCACAATACCCAGCGCTCTGCTAGTGCACCTCAGTCCTGACCTACAGCCCCTGCAATATTTGTCCTGGGCCCCTTCACAGCACCACTGATGCACCCCAATCCCAACCAACAGCCTCTTCTATTCCAGCCCTGGGCACCCAAGCAGTGTATGACTCATCCTGGTGGGATCATACCCATCCAAACTGAGGTCTCTAGGGTCTGTAGTATCCCAGTTTTTCATGGCAACTGAATGCCACTGACTGAATGCTAGGTGGCTTCACTGCAGTTGGCAAATGAGGTGGATCAGTTGTGCACATACATTAGTATGGCCAATTGGGCTCCACAGTTTGTGGTGTGTTGGGGTGCAGCTGGGGTGGAGATCAGAGTGGAAACCTCAGTGCTCTGATGCAGAGGGATATTTCTGTGGGTTATCCCTGCCTTGTAGAGGGGCCCAGTTCACTGAATACATTGCATGGCCCATTCTTAACACTGTCTGGCCAGGGGCTGGGCGGGGGAGAGCTCCTGGGTGTTGTCACAGGAAACAGCATTTCCACCTTAGCTGCACCCCCCACACTCCCTGACACTGGGCTCCTTCTCTCCCTTTCTCCAGTCCCCACTGCAGCCCTGCTCATCACACACATTGGTGGGCTCCCCACTGCCATGTATATGTCATTTCCTGTTACGTGCCTCTAGACAGGAGCTTCTTCCCAGGACACCTTGGTTCTGCCCTTCCATTTTCCGCCTACCTTTTGTTTTCTAGCTCCCCAGCAGTGGGACAAAGAACATTCTTGCCATCCTCACAGAGAAGGACCTTCTGTTTTACTGCAGCCTCCCACAACACAGGGACACCCTGAACAAGCCAATGCACAACTACCCTCTCATAGCCACCAGGTATGTGAGCCTGCTCTGATGCTACAGGTGCAGGAAGCCACCTATCCTTGGCCCAGTTGTGTGTGCCAGGACAAAGTGTCTTGCAACATGTGCTATGGCTATTGGTTCCCACCATAGCCCTTGCCTTTGCTCCTGCCCCTGTCCTGCCACATTACTGGGTATGTTTTGCTACATATTCTTGATAGGTCTGGCTGCAGAGAAGAGGTTAATTGTAGTTTTGATGTTGCCAAAGCCAGTTCAGCAAGGAATGTGGCTCTGTAGCACCCAGGATTAGGGGCTATGAGCTTGGATGCTATTCCAACCCTGTGGAAGTATCAGCTGTTCTACTGAGAGAAGAACAAGTGTGCCTGGGAGGTGCCTGAGCATTTTCAGAGGGCCTGGCCACAGGGTGCTCAAGCCAGTGAACCTCAGGGGAGAGAGTTAAGCCTTGAATTTGCCTGAGTTGTGCCATAAGCTACAGGCCACAGGGTTTACCACCCTAAAATCTTGAACTAGGTTTCAGATCCCAGTAAGGCCCAGATAGCAAAGCAGGGTCAAGCAGAGACCTGGGATGCATGAGATGTGGAAACATAAGCCAGCTTTGGGTCATTCTGGAGTGTGGGGCTCTGTTACAGCTGGTGATTGCTAACTACCTTGTGATAACCAGCCTCATTATGATTCCTCAGGCAGACCTTCCCCTAAATGTGTCTTTCATGGTGTCTTTCATCTAACCCATAGCTAGGACCATGATTCTGCAGAGTATCTGGATTAGCAGGTAGCTTCTATTCATCAAGCAGTAAACTTGGCTTCCCCATTACCCTTGGAAGCAGCACAGTGCTCTGAGATGCCCTCTCCCCTCATGCACTCAGTCAGTAGTTTCTTTCATAGAGAAACAGAAATGAAATTAAGAGAAGAATTAAAATTTAATTTGAATTTAAGTTTTAATGTAAATGAAAAGATTAAACAAACTCTGGTCATTTATCCCATATTTCCAAGATTAAATTGCCCTCTGGTGGCCAGGGCCTGAAAATACTGGCAACACATGTACAGGCTTGTAAGACAAGGGGAGCTTTCCAAAGTAAAAATAATAGTGTCTCTAGAATAAACTGCTGCAGCACTCAGTAAAATCAGACACTAACAACCTGGGTGCTGCAAGCAACCACATACAACCGAGGCCACACCTATGTTAATATAGCCATGTTGCTAATGTTGGCTCTCCTCCTGCAATGGAAAATGGATTGAGCAAGTGTCCACAGCCTGTCCAGTCCAAGGGGTGGAGGGTTCCACCCAAAATGCTCAGAATAGTTTTTGCTATGATCCTTCCTCTCCTTTGTGGGGGCTCTGTGATAACATAGTCAGATGCAGGTCTCTGTTTCTTGATTAGATATTCCTACATAATGATGTTTTGGGTTGGGGGGAAAGTAGATCTGAAAGTTCATGTATTTAAGGTTCTCAAAGGAGAAGCACTGAGTGAGGGAAGTAGTGCATTATGGACTCAAAACGCAGGGCCCAAGCTATGTGTCAGGGTCACTGCTTGGATATAAAGTTTGCTGGAGGTTCCGTTTCACATTCCTTGTATATGTCTATGTGGGACAGAGGCACATGTAGTCAGGGACAAGGATTCATCCTGTTAACAAGATCCAGTAGACAGGCCTGTACAAGCAGAGTGTATGGGGTATGATACATGCCTGGTGGTATAGCGGCATCTGCTGGTGAATTTCTTGTATTGCAGGAACAATTTGCAAATGAATAGAACTAGAGGAGAGTAGAAAAGGAAGTCACACACTTGTGCAGTAGTGCTGTGCAAAGTTCTGGTCCCTGATTCAATTCGGCGGAGATTTGGCCTGATTCAGTGGACGAATCTCCGAATATGAATCAAATCAGAGGACGCTTTAATTTATCTGAATCAATTCGGACAGATTCGGCGATTCGGATGTAGATACAACTTTAAATGCTTTTTCTACATACCTCCAGGTAGCAGGGGTTCTGAACACTGTGGTGCCAGGGCAGATGCAGTGTCCCACAGAAGAACCGGGGGCTCCCCAATGCACTCCTCAGCAGATCCAGAAGTGGACCAGAAGTACTTCCAATCCACTTCTGGGTTCACTGCTGAGCATGCTGGAGAGCCCTACGCGCTGCTGTGGGACGCGCCATCTGCCCCAGCACCGCAGCAATTATGAGCTATGCTGCTACCTCAAGGTATGTAGAAAAAAACTTTTAAAGCTGTGCCTGTGTCCGAATCTCTGATTCACCGAATCAGCATCGAATCTTCAGATTCAGAATTGATCGAATCAGGGACAGTGATCTGAATCAATAGATCAAATCACTGCCCTTGACTTGGGCCGAATCCGAATCGAGTAGGGCCTGTTTTGCACAGCCCTACTGTGCAGGCACTGTCTGCTGGTAGTTCCTTGCTTACATGGATTTACAGTGCTGGGTTTCAAGCTGCTTGCAAGGAACCAACAGTATGGATGGACACTGTGAAATGTAGATTTCTTTCCCCAGAGCATAGCACTGCTGTACGTTTATAAATCAATTTTTTTGTCACTGCAGGATAAAAATGGCTGGCAGAGTTGCCCTACTTAGGGGATTGTGGCCTTCTGCTTTTTAAAAACTTCATCACATTTCAACTGTTGTCATTATTAATTCAAAACCTCAGTGAAAACTGTGTTCTAGTTGGATGCCCCTCTCTCCACTGGGGGGCAGCATGAACATTGTGCAGTGGCTGACTTGGGGCCAGCCTGCTAACTTGGGTGCCAGGAGAACTGGTTCCATTCCTCATTCTGCCACAGACCTCCTGACTTGGTCAAGTCACCTCCCCTCTCAGAGCATGAAGTGCAGAAAGGAAATAAGCAGCGTAATGGGTGCCTTACAGACCACTTCCCTCTGCCATATGCCCTGGAGAACCTTCCCACTACTAACCCATTGACCTGAATGGCTTCCTGGGAGGGAGGTCATGGCAGGTTTTCCTTCTTCCTCTTCTTATTTGTTAGGCTGCTTTCTCTACTGCTACATCCTAAATGGAGGCCCACAAGGCCTAGTGACTTGCCCAGGAAGACAGAGGTAGAACAGGGAACTGAACCCAGATAACCTGAGTCTTGGGGATTGCCAAAAACCAGGCCATTCTTCCTCCAGTGCATACTGAGCTCTCCCCATTGCACTCCTGGAAGTGGGGTCAGTGACTTTAGGGAGGGGTTATGTGCAGAGTGAGTCACATACTATTAGGGCCCTTCTCCACTCCTCACACAGGCTTGTGCACTCTGGCCCATCCAAGAGCTCCCTCCTCTATGACTCAGAGCTCTCATTTGTCTTGCGGACTGGAACCAAGAAGGGGGTGGAGACCCACTTGTTCAGCGTGGAGACACACCGCGACCTGGCAATATGGACACGGATCCTGGTGGACGGCTGTCACAGCGCGGCTGAGTTCATTCAGGAAGTCTCAACAGGTCAGGAAGTGAGGAGGTTCTGGGGAGCTTGTGAGACAGTCAAGCTGAGGGAGGGCGGCAGAGACAGGTCTGCAGAGATTTTGGAGAAGTCAAATACCACAAAGGTCATGCTGTCCCAGTCTCACTGTGTTATGAATGAGTCCCCTGGGTTCTCAGCTCCCCATCTCTCTGCTCCTGCAGGCAAGCAGCTTGGACTCAGGTGGAAGGTCAGGGGCATATGTGTAAAGTGAGTTAGGGATTTTGCCATGGGGGTCCCCTCAGAATGCCAGCAATCAGGAACAGTGGCAGTGAGAAGCCAATGGGCTTGGGGCACTGGGATAGACGAAGGGTAACAGGCAGCAGGGCAGTGGGGCATCTAGTGAGAGGGATGCAGGAGTAATACTCTGCTGGTCTACAGTGTAATTTGGGGCTCTGGGCATTGGGCTGCAGGGTGAAACTGTTAAGCTCCAGGGTGGCAAAGAACTGCTTCCTGCAGGTAAGGAACTGAGCAATGTGCAGTAAGGACCTTTTGCCACCTGGCCATCAATGGTGACCAGCAGGGCAGTTTGTTATCTACTCCAGCCTAGCCAGCATTTAACCAGAAGTGAACAGACAGTGCCCCATGCTACTGGAAATCATCCTGGTCTCCAAGCCTCTGAGAGAATCCAACATAGGGAGAAGCTGTCCAGGCATGAATCCAGCTCAGCTGGGATTTACTGGGGGAAGGAGGGGCTGAGTATCAAACTTACCCCCAAACAGACTGGAACAAAACAGCTTGACAAGCTGCCTGCTGGAGAGAGCCCAGGGAGGAAGCCCAGGGTGGGGCCCATTTCAGACTTAGTTCTGACCCCCATGGCTGATGTAGTTGTTGCTTTAAAACCAGGATAGGCAAAATCCAAAGCTCAGGTAAATCCAGGCAGCTCCCCTAGGATCAGGGGCTTTATGCCACTCTTTACCAGCTGAAGATTGGGGCCAAAAGTTTCACTCCAGTCTTGGTGCAATACAGTAAGCAGTTTTCCTTTAAAGCTCTGATTTCAGGCTTTGGTTCAGGACAAAGTGCATCAGTGGCAGTGTTCCCCTGAGCCCTGCAGGGCCCAATCTCACCTTACCATCACAATTTACTGTATGCTGAATGAGACTGCCCCAGTCCTGGACAACCCCCAGGTGCTCTGTAACTATGAACTGCTACAGGCCCTGCAGCCAAGAGGGATGGTGGAGGCAGGGGAGATTCCAGGACATGCTAGAGCCTTGACCCTGGGTGATTCACTTCTCTTTCAGCCTGTACATGGAATGGGCGGGACTGCACCTTCTCTATCCACATAGACAAGGGCTTCACGATTTTCACAATGGAGCCTGGCCTCAGCAAGACCATCCTGCTGCAGCAGCCATTTGAGAAGCTGCAGATGTCCTCAGACGATGGAACCAAGATGCTCTACCTGGACTTTGGCGCCTCAGAGGGAGAGATTGTGCGTTGGCTTTGCTTCTAGCTTCTGTATTGCTGTTGCTGTCTATGTGCTCCCTCTGGAGTCTCAGAGAGGAAGAGGGAGGGCCAGGCAGCAGGAGTTGACAGAGTGCATGTCCAGTGGCAAGGAGTCATGGGGAAGGAGGGTAGCTGCCATGCCACGGGGTCCTTTGTAGGAAGCCAGGCACTAACTGGGCAATGGACAGTGCAAGATGTTTATGGCTAACAATCCTGCTGATGTACAAGTAAACCAGGCTCACTGCATTCAAAGCAGCAGTGCCCCATCAGGGCACAGGTGCAGTGTGAGGAGGGAGAGCAGTTGTGCTGGCTGGGCTCAGGCACAGGGAGATTACTTTATTTCCCGGAACTGCTTCCAGAGGGAGAGTACAAAAGAGAAGTCCATGTGCTGGAGCATTGCTGTGGGCATGTTACAGTGAGGTGAGATCACATTGGGCTGTCAGTTTTGCTTTACTAGAGACCTATAGCCTACATTTACCCACACCTGCACCATGAAGGAAGGCAGCAGTTTCCCATCTCCTAGGGAGGAGGTATTAGTTACTCTGTTCAGAATCCCTGGAGAGGGGCTCCTGGATCTCTTCAGGGCAGTGTCCATGGGAGGAAAGCAGCCTGTGAGGCTCTAAAGCAGAATGCCCTTTTCTGGGCTGTTAAACCACCAACTTAACTTTCCTGATCATTCATGTCCTCCTTCCCATTGATTTTAACAGAGCAAAGGCTGAATGCTCTGAGCAAAGCACTCACCATTTGCAAATATCCCATTTATTGCAGCAACTGGACCTTCACTCCTGCCCCAAGACCATTGTCTTCATTATCCACTCATTCCTATCAGCCAAAGTGACCCGGCTCGGGTTGTTGGCATAGGGACACAGGAAGCAGCCACAGAGAGAAGAATCCAACTCATACAAGATCTGTGCACTATGGTGATTCTGTCATGACCTAACCAAAACAAAAGCCATTCAGATGAGACTAGAATGACCAGGTAACACATGACAGCCAAGGAAAACCACTAACCATCCAGGAAGACTGAAGTAATAAGCGCCATTGATGGGGATTCTTTCAGGCAGCATTGGAATGGGAAGAGTCACTCACTGACCATGGAGATGGGACAACTCTAGGATGTTATTCAACAGCAGCGAATGTTTTCATTTCTGATAGCATCACTCAAAACAAGCTTGAAAAATATCCATTTAAGTCACAGCACCACCCAACAACCCACCACTCTAGTGCCTTGCAAGATGATATTTTCTGTACAAAGAATCAGTTTGTATCAATGTTTTATATTTATATGGCCCAGTTATAAATGATGAAGTGTTAGCTTTCTGTCCCTCTATGTCTAGCCCCATTGTAAACCTAAATTGTGGTAGATTAGATACACTTCACTGTTTTCCCAGAAACCTATTTAGAGAACACCCGGACCGGAGACCTGAGCCAACTTTGTCTTGTTTAACAGATGTGAACTAAAAAGTATTAAATATATTTGCCAACTTTTTCAACTTCGTAGCTAATTATAGGAGCCATAATTTAAAAACACTTTTTATTAATTAGCTTTGTAGGATTATTTTTCTTTAGCTAACTCCTGTACCCTTGATACTCTCATTTCTCATCTTAATTTTTTTGGGGGGGGGGGGGGGGGGG